ATATATATATATATATATACTGTCTGTATAGCTCTAAACTTTTCAGCAGTGATGAGCAAATGTGGCAGTGTGTTCGTAGAACCCATTGTAAAGTGCACAAATTGCAAAAATGAAACCTAACCCCATTAAAGTCTATGAGGGCGAATCTTAAAAATCAGTTTTGGCCGTTTTCAGTGCTAATATGCAAGGAATTTTGAAAGGCTATGGGGAGCTTGACACTGCCATAAAAGACATCTACCAAAAAAAATTAAAAGTAGCATACAACGGAGAGAGGCTCAAATGTGATTTTGAGGGCGACATGAGGAAAACACCAATTCTTTTAATTACATGCTTAGGAGATGTCCTTACATTGTAGGTGGTGTTATGAAACCATGGAATGCTCCCGGACTGTGTCGGCGACACCGCATTCTGTCATCACATGTTTTGCATGTGTATTTGGTGTTTTTTTTTACTGTTATAATATTGCTTGATATACAGTACATACAACAGCATCACCCCAATCTGATTAATTTCAGCATGAAATTAAAGGCTTTTTTAGATAGTTTTGACAGATTTTATATCCAGCGGTAATAGACCTAAGTTGAAAGGTGAAAGTAGGAGCCACAACAGTTCTAAAACTTATTGGAAAGGTGACTTTAAAAACCCAAAAAAAACCTCAGCTTTGTACAGATAGGTCAGAGGCACAACAGTTTAATAGTATAGTTTGTTGGCTTCTTTTTTTCGCAGTACCACACTGCATTGTCTTAAAAATGTTATAAAATGTCAAAACAAAGTACAACCCCATATTTCCCAACCCCCTTCTCATCCCCCATATTATTATTACCAAAATCCTAAAACTATAAACTGTTTGTTAGAAATTGTCTAGCAGCAGGACAATACACAAGCCCTTGTTTAGAAACCAAATAGAAAGAGCTCTGCAGTGTGGACCCTTTTTAACGTATCTTTACCTACAGCAGCATAATCCGGGACAGACCCAGCCACTACTACTACTTCAAAAAAAATCTCTGGCCAAGACTTCTTAACCCTTGCAGTGGGGCTACCCCTGCACTGCAAGGGTGAAGTGCTCGTTTTGGTCAAGGTGAAAAAAATAATAAAGTTATACTCATCTAAAGCTCCGAGCCAGCCAGCTGTCACAGTGCTCCCTTCAGCCTGGCTCCTCCTCCGCTGCAGCATTGACATCTTCCTCAGCATATACAGTGTATGGACGTGAAGAATTTACTGGACCTTAGACCGCTGCAGAGGAGGGGCAGTGAGGCTTGAACAAGAAGCCAGCTCAGAGCATTGGGTAAGTATTATTAAGAAAAAAAAGTGTTTTTTTACTGCTGTTAATGCAGCTTATTGTGTAAGGTGTACATATGTTTAGCGTTTTGTGAACGGTTTATAAATAATTATATAATAATATATCTTGTTAATACTGATTATTTCATCATATAAAATCAAATATAATCATTGTCCTATTAGTAATGGTTTAGATAGTTTCTAAATTTTTAAAAAAATGAAGATATTTCAGGGGATACAGTAGTTTCATATCGTCCAGCAGCAAGACAGTTTTAATAAGGGATAATAACTTTTATTTTACCCATGGGGTAGGGATGTGTGGTGAATATGTGTGATATAATGTGAGATCGTTTAGGTACATTGTTCTTGCACTTAATTTTTCTGTCACATAATGCAAAATAAATAATTAAATATATAAATAAGCACTTTAATTATTATTATTATTAGTTTGTGCAGCGTTTTACAATATAAGGAAGACATTACAATCACAATACAATTCAAGACAAGATGGTAAGGAGGGCCCTGCCCTTGAGGGCTTGCAATCTAAAAGCACTTCAATGTGCCATAATCACACCAAGCTTAAAGCTAAGAAGCCCCCTGTGTGATACGGGCTCTTTTTAGGAAGACCCTTAATGTTTCACACATATACAAAGGAATGTTTTGCATGAGTCCACACACCAATTAATAAGTTGTTTTTTGGATTTTGTGTTCCTTTTTGCCCACTCACCATTACCTCGTTAGTTTAAGAGAAATTATATTTTCAAACAAAGTACTTATGCACCTTGCCTAGGTCTCCTAACTTAAACTCACCCCAGCTTATTTACCAGGGTATAATAACCCCAACTTGCCCCCATGTTTACATCCTCTAGCTAAAATGTGCCTGTGAAGTGAGCCTGCAAAGACTCACTAAGGCTGTCCAACCCTGGAGATGCCCTATACAAATCTATAAGGAGCCAGGGCTCACTGCATAGGCATAGGCATCAGTAAAAAGATTTCAGACGGAGGTTGAAAAGATCAGTGTATTCTGCTATCCTAGCAGTTGAGGAGAGGGGTTGCTTGTTTAGGTCAGGAGGGCTAGGCAAGGCATGTGTATTATTACCAATTGGGTTCTATAGCAAATAAATAACAAGTAGGGTTGGTATGTGTTCTTTGTGTAAACCCTTTAAACATTCCCGATGTTGCTAAAGCTCTACTCTTTAAAACCTATAAATTACATACAGTACATTGCACTGATGATGTCTAACAAGCCTGAGCCAGCTGTATGCATTTAGGACAGTGGCTACTTCTATGCTATAAGGGCCCGTTCACACCATTTATTTGCATTACCACGTAATTACCGCAACATGCGGCATAAATGCGTTCGTATGATGTTGTTCTGACAGATGTGCATTGTGGTGCAGTGCGATGCAAAAAAATAGCCCAACTCAAGACGCATTGTGGCAACATGCACTTTTCTGCAAAAACATGGTGTGCACAGCCTTAAAACAACAGATCTACATACACGGTTGCTACTAGGAAATGGGATAGTTCTGCCCAATATCACTAAATGAGGAAAAAACTGTTCTTTGGATTTATGATGCTGCTGGTGCCATGCTTTTTTTTAATGCTTGCTGTACAAAGTTAGATTAAAAAGGTTTTAATTGTTTCTGACTGTATTACAATTGCCTAACTGTTTTACTGTCATAACAAGCACATATAACTGTATGTTGATTCAGGAATATAGATGATTGTCACAGGAGTGGCAGGAGGCATTTAGTCGCCTTGTAACACACTGTAGGTTTTGAGGGAGTTTCAGATGGGGTAGAATCAAATAAAAATTGTCTGTTGTTTTTAGCATAAACCACATTCTGCCTATGAGGCTAAGGTATTTTAAAACAGTTCTTTTGGCTCCTTAGCCTGTATTTTAGCCAACAAGGGGGTTCAGGATTTTAAAATATGAGCATGTTAGGTGCCAAGAGGAAGGCTAGGAGTTGGATAATTGAAACGGTATTATATTAGTATTATAAAAGATTTATGTAATTATTTATTTCCATTTATTTTATAAATTGTTACATATTTTATTTACAATTACTTTGTTTTAACAATATCTTTCATTTCCTTTCAGAATTTGTACCAAAATAGGTTCCTCGGCCTGGCTGCCATGGCTTCTCCTTCGAGGAACTCTCAAAATAGGCGCCGGTGTAAAGAACCTCTAAGGTACAGCTACAATCCTGACCAGTTTCATAACATGGACATCAGGAATGGCCCTCATGAAGGAATAACCATACCACGGTCTACCAGTGACACCGACCTCGTCACTTCGGATAGTCGGTCAACATTGATGGTCAGCAGCTCCTATTATGCTATTGGACACTCCCAGGACCTGGTTATCTACTGGGATATTAAAGAGGAAGTGGATGCAGGGGATTGGATTGGCATGTATCTAATTGGTAAGTGTTAATGCTAAAGTATGTGAATGTATACATATGTATTATATATGTACAATAGATACAGTATATATTCTTGGAGCCACTGCCAACTTGTTTTTAAACGTTCAGGGGGTGGCCTCTTGATCTCTGCTTCAATTATAGTATTGAAACGAGCATGCATTAGGGGACACCTGAAACATCTAACTCCTATGCTGTTTCTTTCCAGGTTAATTACTCTAATGAATGAATTTACAATCAGCAGGGGCCACCTTCTTTAAAAAAAAAAAAAAAATTAAACAGAAAATTAATTTTAAAATAAAATAATGGGCCACTCTGACTAGTTTTTACACAGAAGTTCAAATATGGCGTATTTCTTAATAAAAACAATTGTTAGAGGAAGAGCACAAGCACAAACGTCTATATGGCAATATTTAAAGAGGTCCTAAAAAGGCTAAATTGCACAACCTAGAGGCAAATGGATATAATGACCCAAACCCAGTAGTAGGACAAAGCTTCCGTTGTTGTTCCAATAAAATAGTTACTGTATGTACATTGAGATTTGTCCTGAATATCAGAAGAATACATATTTTAGCCACAGAGCACTCAGGATGAAATTCCCCAGATAGTCCTACAGACTATCAATGTCAATATTATAGATCCAAGAAAAGTGCAACAACTTTAAATAGCTGTGGAAGCTATGATTACTGCATACAAGGATGTTGTAAGAGAAACGCATTAACCTTTGCAACCTTGCAATCTATTATCAAAGAGTGCCCAAGAGTTCTGACATAGTGCCTAGGAACAGTCCAAGGTAGTTAAAATCTGCCTTAAAAGCACTCATATAGTGTGTCAGCATGATACTTATCACATGTTGTGCCTCATTAATTAAATGCAATCCCATTAAGAAATACTATTTGTTCTAAAGGCCTGGAATAGGTACAAATAAGGATCAAAAGGTTTTCCAACAGCCCTCATAGGATGACAAATATAAACAGAGATGTCTGTGTAAAAAGGTCCTAAAATATAATTCTTTCCTCCGTGCTGCCAAACAGACTTATTTGTCACTCTCATTAACAAACTCTCATCCAGACCTCGCCAACTCTTCTCTACTTTTAACTCTCTACTATGTCCCCCACCGCCACCACCCACTAACTCACTCACTGCACAGGATATTGCCATTCGTTTAAAAAACAAAATAGATACAATTCGGTATCAGATCGCCACTGTCCAGTAATCTTCCCCTATTAATGTACCAAACCCACCATCACACTTGTTTCTTTCCTCTTTTGACCCTGTCACCACAGAGGAGGTTACAAAGCTTCTCTCTGACACCCACCTCACCACTCGCCTCCTGGACCCTGTTCCTTTACCACTACTTTGGTCACCCTCTTGCTCTATCCTACACTCTCTTACTCACATTTTCAATCTCTCACTCTCCACTGGCATCTTTCCCTCCCCTCTAAAGCATGCCCTGGTCACCCCAATACCCCAAAAACTCTCATTAGACCCTACCAACTTCAACAATCTCAGACCAATCTCTTTACTCCCATTCACCTCCAAACTCCTAGAATGCCTTATGTACAGCCGCCTGAGCCGCCAACTCGCTGATAATCTTCTCAATCCCTTACAGTCCAGCTTTTGCCTCCTACATTCCACTGAAACCACCCTCCTAAAACTCACTAATGACTTACTAACAGCTAAAAACAATGGCCACTACTCCTTACTCTTGCTATTAGACCTTTCTCCTGCTTTTGACACTTATGACCACCTGCTCCTCCTCAAAAAACTCCACTCGCTTAGCCTACAAGACTCTGCTCTCTCATGGTTCTCCTCCTACCTATCTAACGCTTCTTTAGTGTCACCTGCAAATCTAACTCCTTCCCTCCTCTTCCTCTTTCTGTAGGGGTCCCCCAAAGCTCTGTCATTGGACCCCTTCTCTTCTCTATCTACAACTCCTCCTTTGGTCAGTTAATAACCTCACATGGCTTACAATACCATCTATATGCCGATGACACTCAAATATATCTTTCTATCCCACAACTCACCCCCTCAGTGTCCTTGCATGTCACTAATCTACTAACTGACATATCAGTCTGGATGTCACAACACTTCTTAAAACTCAACCTTTCAAAAACTGAGCTCATGATATTTCCTCCTGCCTGTGCACCTTCCCCCAACTTTTCCCTTGCGATTGATAACACAACTATCAAACCCTCCCCCATGCCTAGGTCCTTGGTGTCATCCTTGACTCGGACCTCACCCTTCTTCCCCACATCCAATCACTATCCAAATCCTGCCGTCTTCACCTTCGTAACATCTCCAAAATACGACCCTTCCTCACCAATGAAACCGCAAAATGACTCATCCAGTCACTTGTTATATCTCGTCTTGACTATTGCAACTCCCTCCTCATTGGCCTACCTCTACACTGGTTATCTTGCTTCAATCTATCATGAATGCTGCTGCTAGACTCATTCACCTAACCAACCGCTCACTGTCTACAACCCCCCTCTGCCAATCCCTCCACTGGCTTCCAATAGCCCAAAGGGCAAAATTCAATATATTAACAATGACATACAAAGCCATCCACAACTCTGCCCCCGGCTATATCTTAAACCTTGTCTCAAAGTATCACCCCAAACGTCCCCTCCGCTCTTCCAAAGACCTCCTGCATTCCAGCTCCCTCATCAACTCTTCCCATGCTTGCCTCCAGGACTTCTCTAGAGTCTCTCCCATCCTCTGGAACTCTTTACCCCAACCTGTCCGACTAGCTCCCACTCTGACTGCTTTTAGGCGATCGCTTAAGACTCATCTCTTCAGGGAAGCCTATCCCACCTCAAACTAACCACTCAACCATCACATTCTCAAACAATTCATCCCCACACAGCTACCTCCTTTTGATACATGACTTGCCCCTCCTTTTTAGGTTGTAAGCCCTCACGGGCAGGGCCTTCCTTACCATCTTGTCTTGAATTGTATTGTGATTGTAATGTCTTCCTTATATTGTAAAGCACTATGCAAACTGTTGGTGCTATATAAACCCGGTATAATAATAATAATAATGTCTGTGTACTTCACCTAATCCATGTCAGCAGCACTGTGGAAGTCCAGACTCCTGATCAAGCCATTAGGCAAGCAGCAAATGTCACTGTGCAAACTGGTGATCTTTGATATGGCAGATGGGTATTTTGCAGCCTAGGGTAGTGGAGATATGTGAGCCACCTCAGGGCACACAGTGGCACCAGGAGAGCAGCACATACTGTATGTGAACTCAGGGAGCTTTGTCAGACAGAATTCCTTGGATGTGTAGGGACTAATCAGAGTGTCCTAATGCTTTATTTAAATGTTTTTAGGAAAATGGTTCCCTGTTTTCCTAGGGCTCAAATTATATGTTGTTTAATCAGGCATTTTGTATTTCCACACAATAATTTTTGGTCTGTATCCTAAGCTTTTTTCTTTGTGTCCCATAGCACTTTTAAAACAAGTTTGCAATAGTATCCCCCATATTTGTACCCTCATAGGTTCATTGTAAAAGGCCTCAAAATTTCAACCACAAGTTGTTCCATTGATATGCAAATAGATGTGTACGATGTTGTACATCTCTTATTTGAGCCGATTACAGTTATCGGAAATGGGAATGGTTGCCATGGGTTACTTAATGTTACACTGTCTTACTTAAGTCATAATATGTTTACATATGATTTACATATTCATGTATTTTAGTTTAAGCTAAATGCATTCAAGGACCATGGAAACAAAATGAGTGCAAAGTTTTACAGTTTGTTTTCTTTAGAAAGTTGACACATCCTGAGTAGAGAGGCAGTGATCTCCCTACAGAGGTTCAACATGCCCCCCCCCTCCCCCACTGTGTCAGAGCTCTCCAATAAAGCATGGAGGATATGTTTTGCTGATTAAACCTCTATTGAAAGACCACTGTTTTTTCACAGTGAGCAAGGGTTCTTTGTTCCAATATGCTGGCAGGGGACAGACTTTTTACCTAGGCTGTAATTGTTTTCTAAATACTGAGCTAAATACTTTGCACGCTTTTTTATGAACTTGTAAAGTATTTAGCTGATTTTAGCTGATAGTTCAATTGGGCTTTAAATCAATGTTTTGGGAGTCATAGAAAATATATTTTGTGTCACCCGCAGGGCCTTGCCACCAATGAGGCCAATCGAGGTGGACACCTCAGGCAGCAATCATTGAGGCCTGGTAAGGGGCAGCAATAAGGCCAGAGTGCCCATAATGGACACGCCATTCTTAGTGTAGTTGAGTAATACCAAGCCTAAATTAAAATCAGTGTTGCCAAGCTCCCTGCCAACCATTGTAACTGGATGGGCAATACCATCTCCATGCACAGCACATAAGCCTTTTTACTAAACTGCATTTTAAGTGACCAGTGTATTATGTCAGAGACATAAGCCATAACATAAGTCGAGAGACATAAAAGACCTGAGCGGGAAATATTGTTTGGGCTTGATGTACAGCATGTAAACCTATTTTGTAAGCTGCAATTTAAGAAAAAGGCAGGTTTTAAAGAGAAATAAAAATTAGAGCATATTTTTTCAGAGACAACATCCAGAAATATTGTACACATCAATGCACACTATGTAAGCATTTTTACTAGGTAGCAATTTCAGAGTCAGATACCAGGCAGATTTGATTGTGAAATTAAAATTAGAGTGTATAATATGAGAGACAAAAGACAAAAGTATTGTACAGACTTGAAGCATTGCATGTAGAATGCAGCCTTTTTACTAGGCTATAATTTAAAAGGGGGAGACCAGGTAGATTTTATTGTGAGATAAAAATTTGAGCGTATTTTTTCTAAACCGAAAGCCAGAAATATTGACTAGGCCTCAGCATGTTACTAGGCCTCATTTAAAGACAGTAAGACCAGGCAGGTTTTTATTGTGAAATTAAAATTAGAGTGTATAATGTCAGAACCAAAAGTCAGAAATATTGTACAAACCTGATTCGCACAATTACTAGGCCACAATTTAAGAGGCAGGTTTTATCAT